TCTCCCAGCCTTTCCTGCCAAACTTCTACATAAAGAGAATCAATACGATTTTTATTATAGAAAGTTTTGTTTTTTGTGTGTGTTATGCTAAGATTATCTGTTGTGGATGATTCATAGCTACTACCAGAGTTCAAGCTGCTCTTCTGTCAGTTGGCTGTGGCAGCCATCTTGAATTGGGTTGATTCAAAAGGTTAATCAAAAAACTTTCATTAAAATCCAGGATGCATGAAGTATAAATGTAGCTGACTCCAGTTTTAAAAACAGATTTTGTGCGGTCAGTTAATGCTTGGATGTGTTGAGGACAACTCTCAGCTTCTACTGTAATAAATGTTGGTGTTTGTTAAGAAACAACCCATGGAGCAGGCATCTAAAGACTCCAGGACTTGAAGGTAAAAAGAAACCAATTTATTGTAACGTAAGGAAAACGTTGACGTGGCAGCTGAAAACTTACTTACAAAAACCACTGGGAGCAAACACAAGGGATTACAAATCGAGCTGACTGTAGAAAGCACAATGCACCGACAGGGAACATGAGAAAACACAGAGAATACGAAGGAAAACCAAAAGGATATATACTTGAACTAAATAACTAAGTAGAAGTAAAAATACTTTAACAGATTTGGTTAAAATTAATCTCACTGATAAGAAATGTACATATAAGTCATAAAAGTGCTCACAATAATCAAAGTAAAAGTGCTTTTACACACACTAAGAAATGAAATATTGAATTTACGTAACCAAACTGGTTCCACTAAACCAAGATGAATTAACGGATTTACATTTTCTCAGTTTAGTGAAACGAGTTGGCATAACTTGGTTACATAAATTCAACATTGAATTTTTTAGAGTGAATAAACAATCCTTCAAGGTGAGTTCTGTCATATGTAAGTTTGTAGCAGGTGTTAAATTTTAAAGTGAAGAAGTATCATTTTTATGTTTTGAATGTAACAAAATAAAAGTTAAAGCTATGATTTAAAAAATATGTGGCAAAGTACAAATCTTACAAAGAATTATTTAAGTAACCAGTGGTGGGCAGCACTAATCTATAGACCTCAGTTAGTGCTTCTAAATTTAGCCTATAAATTTAACAAGTGCTAATCCATAAATGCATTTTAAAATTAGCAAAAGCCCTAAAGCACTAATCAAGAAATTAGTTCCCCTATTAGTGCTTTAGTGCTTTATGGAACTGTGCCCACCACTGACTGTAACAACGTAAATGTACATAGTTACTATAATGTGGGCTAATGAGACACACCTGGGGAGAAGGATCAGGTGTGGAGGAGCAGGTACTGAGGACTAAAGAAATACTAGAAGTGCTCAAAGAAAAGAAAACACAAAAACTAGTAAAAAAAAAAAAAAAACACAGAGCCAAAAAGGAACAAAACAAACACAGCTCATTAAAATTTACTGTTCTCTCTCTCTTTTTTTTTTGTTGTTGTTGTTTGTTTAGGGTAAATAACTGGAGCCATCTTGAATGGGGTTGACTTCAGAAGTTAATTAGTAGATGTGGCTCAAGTCAGTGTTTTTTTTAAATACGTGAACAGATAGACACACATGGACAGAGACATCTTGACATTAGTGTTTTTAACTCCTCTTTTTAAACCCTTTAGAAAAAAAACAGCAAGAGGTCTGACTTTTACAGTAAACAAACCTCGTACTTAATGAGTACTTGTACAGAAAATGGGCTGTATTATGAAATAACTTCTTACCCTGTAAGTACCAGGCTGTGATAGTAAATAATTGTCAGTCATTTGTATCTTATTATCCGTGACATCAGTTTTATGAATGGAAAACTTTTAGTTTAGTTCAGTTTATTCATTCATTTTTTATAAAAAAAAATAAACAACATAATTTCTTTATACAATAAAAATACAAATCATAAATGAAAGGTAGCAGAAGAAAAAATCTTATATCTGCCCCTTTTCTCGAAAAAAATAATTTAAACAAAAATAGTCTTCAAATGACAACAAAAACAACAAAAAACAAAAAGAATATAAATAAATAAAGGTTAAACTCCTTCAACAAATCGTAAATACACATTATACCATTACATATTTCTCCAACTTATTTTCTAAGCTAGCCAAATAGGTTTGATTTTTAGGCTTACAAAATAACTTTTTCTGAAAAATGACACATCGCTGTAAAAGAACAAAGCAACAGGTAGTATTAATCATACATAATAATAATAATAATAATCATAGGTACATGATGTTTGTTTCTGTTTTCTCAACAGGACCATGAAACCCACCTGTGTTAAAACACAAATGTATTGATGTGCCGAGACTACAAAGACTATTTTTTTGCTGAATGTATGAGTCAGCTTGATCAGTATGTCTATTCAGACCAGGTCTTCAGTGAACTCCCAGCAGACCAATTCACCTGCAGCCTCAGCACCATCGGCACATCTGGAAAATACTCAAAGCTCTTCACCGTTCTGACAAAATGAATCAAATCCTTTGTTCCGCTCAAAATTCACCACACAATATCACGTTTTTACAAAGTGTAAAAAGTTAGCTTGAATATTTTAGGATCAAAGTCTAGACCTGTTCTGTAGGAAAGGTAACCATAAATGACTTTTGTTGTGATCTGGTTCTGTATTTTAAAAAAATGAACTGAAGACGATAAGAAGGAGACTACCTGCCCCTGAGCGCTTTGAACGACACAAAGTTTCATCTTCCAACAGGACAACAACCCTCAGCACACAGCCAAACTAACAAAATGGCTTTGGAACAACTGTGTAAATGTCTTTGAGTGGCCCAGCCAGAAGCCTTACTTAAAACCGATCAGACACCTCTGGAGAAATCTGAAAATAGCTACACCAACACTCGAAGAGGTTCTGCAGGAATGGCGAGCGGCAGAAAATGCTCAAAAATAAGTGCAACTGGTTTATAGCATCGCACACATAAAGACTTGAGACTGAAATTGTTGCCAAAAGTGCTTCAAAAAAGTATTGAGGAAAGGCTGCGAATATTTACATTTATGTTGTATATTCTTTATTTTCTTTTTTTTCTCTCTCTCAATAAATTTGCAAACATTTTAACACTTTTTCACTTTGTTATTATGTTTAAAACTTTTGGCAAAAAAATTATGGAATCCATTTTGGATTAAGGCTGTGACAAAGTGAGGAAAAAGGTGAAGCTCTGTGCTGTTGAATATGCTGATAGGGTTGGTGTTCAGCACACACATATTCATAGACAAACATAGAAATAGTGACAAACTGAACAAATGGTCTCAGGTAAAAGTGTAATATAGAAGTCTTTAATACCACTGTCTTGTTTTTGAGAGTTGTTTAGAAAACTGTAAAGGACAACAAAAAATGGGTCACAGAAATGATGAAGGTATCTGTACACACAAATTGCTCTGGTGGTGTGAAGGGGTTTTCTCTTTTGATCTGATGTAGTGTGTCTGCAGGTCTTTTGTTGTTGTTTTCCTGCTGAGCTCTGCTTCCTCCTTCTGATTCCAGCCTCGGTGCTCTTGTTGGTCTCTCTGTAGCAGCTGTGGTCCTTCTTGCCTTCATCATCACTCTGTGTGTCCTCTGCTATCTGTTTGTCACCACCAAGCCCAGAGGTCTGGACAATGGCTTGCCTCTTCAAGCACCAGGTACTGTCTGTCCAAACCAAACAAAAGTACACAGTTGAACTTCAGGTGTTTATTATTATTTGACTTCTACCAAAATATCAGATGAACCACTGGATGAAATTGAATAAAACTTGCAGAAAGTAATCATTCAACCAGTTTCAATAAAGCCAGTACAGCTAATTAAATGTAGCTATCACAAATATGACAAAAAAAAATCTATGAATTTTAAAGATACTGTGATCAAATTTGTTGTGGTAGAAGCAGAGAGTTATCCACAACTAAGTACTTTTACTTTGTTGCAGTACTTAAGTACTGTTTTGAATATCTGTAATTTTACCAAGTTTTTTTAATCAAAACTTTTATTTTGTTACATTCAAAACATAAAAATAATACTTTTACATTTTTTACTTTAAAACTTATTACAAGTTACAAGCTTAACTAAAAGTGTGAGGCAGTTATGACCGGGGTCCAAGCCCATCTGCATATCGACCTTGGCCCATGTTGTCCCCAGCACCCTGTCGACTTGTGCACCACAGAGTTGTAGCACAAAGAGTATGTATAAGGTTTGTTTTAGGTATTAATGTCCTAAATAAGACTCAGGTCTCTAGAAATGGTTCACTCCATATTCATATGTCCTCTGTTGCCTTCTTGTTTGTCTTTGACAGCTGCATTATTAACATCTATAAATCAAAACACCAACTGTGTCTCTTCTGAACATGTCCAAACTATGTGTCTGGTCTTTCTCTCCTGATCTAATCCTTCTTTCTATATAGCCATTTCTGTTCCCTTTTTTATTTCAGTGCCACTGTTCACACAACTGTATTGTATTTTTTTCCTTTGATTTTTAACTGCAAATCTTGTATCATAACTCATGAGACTTTTCTTCCTTGCCTTCATATTATAACTTATCATGAAGAGATGTTTCTGCACTCTAAAAATGAAGTCAAATAATTCTGTCAACTGGATCCACTAAACTGAGTAAATGTAATTTATTCAACTTGGTTAGTGGAACTAGTTTGGTTCAGTAAATTTAACTTCATTTCTTAGAGTATGTAAATACTGTAAGTACTTTTATGATTGGGGGAACAGTTTTATGACTTCTACTTCAGTACATTTTTATCAGTGAAATTAATTTTTACCAAAGTCATTTTCTGTTAAGATATTTTTACTTTTACTATACCTCTCAGACCACTCTTTCTCAGTCTTATTAGGTCAATCTCTCTCTGACTCAGCCAAACTCACCTGCGGAGTTCCACAGGGTTCCATCCTGGACCCAATTCTATTCCTGCTCTACATCCACCCCCTGACTGAGGTCATCAAAAATTTTCCAGACATCTCCTACCATTTCTATGCAGATGGCGTGCAGTTATACTGCTCCTTTAATGACTCCACCACACACAAGCTCACCTCTCATAAAATGTGTCACAAAAGTTAACCAGTGGCCGTCTGACAACTTGTTACTTTTAAACCCCAGTAAGACAGAGACACTGATCCTGGCCCCTGAAAAATAAAATCCCWAAGATAAAAGAACATCTCGGCTCTTTGGGTTCAACTGTTAAGCAGAATGTGCGCAACCTGGGAGTAAATCTAGACTCAGATCTATCACTGGATAAACACATAAAGAACCTGGTTTCCACTTGCTATTTTCAGCTCCGTAATAACTCAAAACTCCGGCCCCTGCTGTCTACTTCAGACTTGGAAATGGTAATTCATGTCTTCATTTCTACCTGCTTAGACTATTGTAATAGCTTTTTCACCTGTCTTAACCAGAAACAGTTAAATCATCTTCAGCTTGTCCAAAACTCGGCAGCAAGGCTCCTAACTCGAACCTCCAAATTCACCCACATCTCCCCGATCCTAGCAGAACTTCACTGGCTTCCGGTTCAGTTCAAAATCAGGTTCAAAATCCTGGTCCTCACCTTCAGAGCTCTTCATGGCCAAGCCCCAGAATACGTTAAAAGTCTCATTTCACCATAAAACCCCAGACGAGACCTCCGCTCACAGGATCAACATCTCCTTATGGTTCCCCTCACTCGCTTTAAGACCCGTGGTGACCGTGCCTTCTCCTCTGTGGCCCCCAGGCTCTGGAATGAACTCCCTTAACCATTTCACCATTACTGCCAGCCTACCTCCATTGTGAATGCTTCATCAATCTGTTTTCTTTACTATTAAACTTACGCCATATTTTCTCTCCCGCATTCATTATGTTTTTGTGTATTACTGTATAATTTGACCTGCATTGACC